AGGCCCACCCCAGTCTCCTGCCTGCTCCCACAGGGGCTCTGAGCTCCCCTGGTCCGCTCCCCACCTCCCTCCCGTCTCCCCTCTCTGCCCCCCCTCTCTGCCCCGTGTCTGAGCTCTGCGTCTGTTCCCTGGCGCAGGGTTCCCCGACTCCCTGCGGTCCCTGGACCAGATGTGCCGCTTCATCACAATGTGCATATTCACCTGCACCGGCCAGCACTCCTCCACCCACCTGGGCCAGGTGCGCCCACACCTGGGGTTGGGGGGTGCGGACCGGGGGCTCAGGGTCTCCGTGCTTGGCAGACACCGACTCTGGGTGTGCCCTGTCCTAGCTGGACTGGTACTCTTTGGTCCCTAACACGCCCTGCACCATGCGCCTGCCCCCGCCCACCACCAAGGACGTGACGCTGGAGACGGTTATGGCCTCGCTGCCCAACTTCCACCAGGCTTCCCTGCAGATGTCCATCGTCTGGCAGCTGGGCAGACGCCAGCCCATCATGGTGCGGAGGGGAGGGGGACCCTGAGGACGGGGTGTGGGGCAGATATGGTAGGTGCGGCATCGAGTAGGGTGCAGGGCGGGCGGGGGGGAGCTGAGGGCAGGGGTGGAGGGGCAGGTGTGGCATCGGGCAGGGTGGGGGCGGCAAGGGTCAGGCGCGGCATCCGAGCCGAGGGCCAGGGGCTCTCAGCTGCCCTTCTGTCTGCACCAGGTGGCTGTGGGTCAGCACCAGGAGGAGTATTTTACGGGCCCCGGACCCAAGGAGGTGCTGAAGCAGTTCAGGGAGGAGCTGGCCGCCATGGAGAAGGATGTGGCGGCCCGGAACGCGAAGCTGGACATACCGTACGAGTACCTGCTGCCCAGCCTGGTGGAGAACAGCGTGGCCATCTGAGCGCCGCCCCAGGCGCATCGGGTCCCGCCCTCCTCAGTCCCCACCCTCCGCAGTCCCCCACCCCGCTAAAGAGTCACCTTTCCACTGTCGCAGTCCCCAATGTGAGCACACTGTATTCTAGATGTGCCCCCTAGTGACCTCGGTCCTGCTTCCTTCCTCATCCTCCGGACCTCCCCTGGGGCGGACCTCAGCTGCTTATATCCCCCGTTTCAGAAGTAGGGTATGCTGTCCCTACATAGTTACTCCACGCCGTATTTTATGAACCAAATATGATTTTGAAACTAAGTCGCGTTTAATGGCAACTAAAAGATCTCACAGAGAAAGGGAAAGAAATTCAGAACAAATGAGCCTGAATCAAGTGCTGGCAAAAGAACGGGGCACATCTTTCCAGCTGGGAGGGCTCCACCAGCGTCCCACAGCGATTCTCCAGATGTGCCCTTTCCCCATTCGCTTAGAAGATGATCAACGGGAGAAAACTGGGGGGGAAGGGGGTCCTGTGTCTATGACCTTTCTGCAGTCGCCCAGTTGGAAAGCCCCGAATGAAAGCAATTAACTAGAAAAATACGTTCAGAACCCTCATTGTTTTCACAAGGGACGACAAAGGAATCAAGAAAATCCAACTTTAGTATCTGACAAAAATTTCAGAAAAATAAATGTATTTCTTAACCTGACCATGTGTGGATAAGTTTTTTAAATGTTTATTTTTGAGAGAAAGATAGAGCGTGAGCTGGGAAGGGGCAGGGAGAGAGGGAGACACAGAATCTGAAGCAGCTCCAGGCTCCGAGCTGTCAGCACAGAGCCTGACGCGGGGCTCGAACACATGAACCGTGAGATCATGACCTGAGCCGGAGTGGGACACTTAACAAACTGAGCCCCCAGGCGCCCCAAGTATCTGTGAGTATTTTAAGGCAGAACATCACAGTACACATGCGCCCAAACCGTTTCCCTTCCAATAGGAACGTAGCTGTTTCTTGCTGTAATTGTTGAATTGGGAAGACGACGTGTGGGTGACGCTTGGTGTGATACTTGAAGGAAGAATAGGAAATAGGCAGCGGGGGGCGGGGGGGAGGGGGAGGAGGGCGGGTAACATTCAATGCTGGCATCTGGTGACAGAGCGAGGCACACATTACACTCCAGAAATAAGGCAGCCATGCAGGCAGGGAGGTGGCAGCGGGGGCCGGAAGAGGGGTGCCAGAAGGGTGGTCTCATGAAGGACACATTTGAGGCCAAGAAATTAGCCTTGACCTTTAGGAAACAGCCATTGGCAGCCACTGAAGGATTTTAAGTAACGATATGACAGGGTCCTGGAAGTCAAACACCCGCTTCACTCTCACTATGGGTTCCTTGTCAGATACTTTCTAACCACTTTCCTCCTTCCCTGACAGAGAAAACGTTACATCCCATCGCTTTCTGGAAATGAATCTTTTTTTAAAATGTTTTTTATTTCTATCTGAGAGAGAGAGAGGCCACGTGACCAGGGGAGGGTCAGAGAGAGACGGAGACACAGAATCTGAAGCAGGCTCCAGGCTCTGAGCTGTCAGCACAGAGCCCGACGTGGGGCTCAAACTCACAAACTACGAGATCGTGACCTGAGCTGAAGTCAGACGCCCAACCGACTGAACCACCCAGGTGCCCCAGATTTATTTTTTTAAGTTAAATGCAAATTTCTAAATTCCTTACACTTGTTTTATAGGGCATATAAATTACATTACACCATTTTTTTTTTAAATTTTTTTTCATTTATTTTTGAGAAACAGAGACAGAGCATGAGCGGGGGAGGGGCAGAGAGAGCAGGGACAGAATCTGAAGCAGGTTCCAGGCTCTGAGCTGTCAGCACAGCCTGATGCGGGCTCGAACTCATGGACCATGAGATCATGCCCTGAGCTGAAGTCGGACGCTTAATCGACTGAGCCACCCAGGTGCCCCACATTACACCATTTTTTAAGAATATATACAGACGAGGGCGCCTGGGGGGTTCAGTCAGTTCGGGGTCTGACTCTTGATTTCAGCTCAGGTCATGATCTTGGGGTTCAAGTGTTCAGCCCCACATCAGCCTCTGCTGACTGGGCAGAGCCTGCTTGGGACTCTCTGTCTCTCTTTCCCCCTCAGTCTCCCACTTGCGCATGTTCTCATGCTCTCACTCTCAAAATAAGTAAGTAACCTTACAAAATAAAGAATATATAGAAGTATACATGTGTGTTCAACTAAATTGGTATAATTTAAATTAAAAAAACTTTATCAACCTGTTCTTGTATCAGAGGAAGTTGAGACATCCATGTATCTATAGAGTTATTCCACTCATACGTTCTGCGTAGACAGTTTTAAGATGTCATCGCTTTTTTTTAATGTTTATTTTTGAGAGAGAGAGCGCGCGTAAGAGCAGGGAAGGGGCAGAGAGAGGGGGAGACAGAGGGTCCGAAGCAGGCTCCGTGCAGACAGCAGAGAGCCTGACACGGGGCTCGAACCCTCGAACAGTGACGTCATGACCTGAGCCACCCAGGTGCCCCAAGATGTCATCTTTCTGACAGATGCTTATTTCAATAGTGGTTGTGTTCCATAGCATTAAATATACTTTCTGAAATTCATCGTTTATGAGTCCTTACTCTAAATTAAAGTGGAAGGGATCGAGTGAATAATTTTCCTTTATATGAAGGCTACTATTAAAATGGAAACTCACAGAGCTGAGGAGATCGGGCGCATGTTTACTGGACAGCCCCCGCATGCCTTCCTGAGTGACATTTATTGTTATTTTTTTTATTCGAGCCAGTAAAACTCATTAAAAGGACTAGAACAGTCGGTATGGATGTGTTTCTCACTCTCAGTGAGGGGGGAAACTTCTGGACCCTCTCAAGGGACAGCATCTAAGTGGGTGGGACATGTATGATAGAGTGAATCCAGTGTTTTTCTGGGTCCAAGCGTTAGAGTTCACTCCTGTGCAATATATCAAGGGTTTTATGGCATCTAAACTTCCTTTCAATCACCCAGAACTGTATCAGGCTGTTTGTTGCCTAATCTGGCAAATTTAGAATCATGCCCAGATGTGCAAAACACTAGGCCAGTCCCAGAATCTCTGTCGAGCCTTCTTGTGTAGACAATTTCAGCTTGATGTAAAGAAATGATTCCTTTTCCGCGGCTAATCCACTTCCTCAAAACCCACTTCCCGGAAGAGGCCTCTGAATCGTGTTGACATTAAGAAACAAAACATCTCGAATCGCTTCGATATGCAACCTTTCTCTTTCGGGAGGTGTCTTCAAGTTTCCACTCGTGTACGCTTAATTGTGTGCTGTATCTGGGTGCGCATGTGGCCCAATGCTGGGATCTCACTAGCATCACTCGCTCAGGGTGAAGAGTGGGTCCCCATGGAGGTATTGTTTGCTTTTCTTGCAAGAGAGTCTTCCTCCAGTGCGGCGGTAACTGCAGGTCTAAGCCAGGGAGGGGCAGCCTCTCCAGGAGGGGAAGGCCAGGGAGGTCCATCTCTAATGGGATGCCAGGAGCATGACTGTGTTTCTTGGATGCCTGCTGACCTTTGGAATTTCATCCGATGGGGAGAGTCAGAAGATAAAGTTCTTTTTAAAAAAATTTTGTTTAATAGTTTATTTATTCTTAAGACAGAGAGAGACAGAACATGAGTGGGGGAGGGGGAGAGAGAGAGAGGGAGACACAGAATCTGAAACAGGCTCCAGGCTCCGAGCTGTCAGAATAGAGCCGGACACGGGGCTCGAACCCATGAACCACGAGATCATGACCTGAGCTGAAGTCGGACGCTGAACCAACTGAGCCACCCAGGCGCCCCAGAAGACAAAGTTCTATGAGGTCTTTCCCCAAGCAACAACCCAACTATCAAAACTGAGATTAGACATGCGCAACGGCATCTAAGTGTCTTGGCTTTAAACACGCTGTTGTGTGAGAGCCGGATGTCAGAGGGGTGAGCAAGGGAAGTGGCTGGAGCCTGGATAAAAGTACGTTTGCACACAATGTCAGGAGGCAACTTTGTCTGCCAGTAGGATGGCTGCGGCACCCAGAATCGGCACGACGTTTTGGGGTGCGGCTGTCTCTGGCGTGTACTCTGTGGGAAGCAGGGCATGCTGGGGGCTGCACCACCCATTGCCTTTTCAGTTTCCCTTTGTCACCCCACCGCCCAGAGGCCAAAGCTCTAAATGCACCACTTGGTAAATGGTCACCTGATGAAATCAGGCACGATTCTTTCCTCGTCGGTCCCCACAGTTCTCTACACGGGACCTGATAATATGCATTCAACTAACTCTCTGATTCTTCACCGCACAGAATTGCTAGACCTTTTTTTTTTTTCTTTTTGACCCCCCAGCTCAGGAGCTACAAAAGAAGACAGCCTTTTTTTTTTTTTTTTTTTTTTGGAGCATGGTCCTGGAATGTTTTTGTTCTTTTTTTAAATTATTTTTCGTCTTTTTAAAATATATTTAAATTTTAGTTAGCATACAGTGCAATGTTGGTTTCAGGAGTAGAATTCAGGGATTCATCACTTCTGACAACACCCAGTGCTCATCACTCGTGCCTTCTTTTCTAAAATATTTATTTATTTGTTTGTTTGTTTATTTATGTTTCTTTTTTATTTCTGGGAGAGAGAGAGAGACAGCGTGAGCAGGGGAGGGTCAGAGAGAGAGGGAGTCACAGACTGAAACAGGCTCCAGGCTCTGAGCTGGCAGTCAGCACAGAGCCCGACGCGGGGCTCGAACCCACGAACCGCGAGATCATGACCTAAGCGAAAGTCGGACGCTTAACCGACTAAGCCACTCAGGCGCCCCTTGTTTATTTATTTAGTGAGCCAGTGGGGGAGGGGGAGATAGAGGGAGAGAGAGAGAATCCCAAACAGCCTCCCATACAGCCAGCATGAGGCTCAATGCAGGGCTTGATCCCATTAGCTATGAGATCATGATCTGAGCCTAAATCAAGAGTTGGATGCTTAGCTGACTGAGCCACCCAGGAGCCCCTCCTAAGTGCCTTCCTTCATCCCCATCACTCATCTAGTCCATCTCCCACCCAACAAAGTAGGGATAGAGGGAAAATATCTCAACATCATTAAGGCTATATACAAAAGATCCAGCTAATTTCAACCTCAGTGGGGAAAAATTGAGAGCCTTTCTCCTACAGCCAAGAACAAGACAGAGGTGTCCACTCTCACCATTACTATTTTTCACATAGTACCGGAAGTCTTAGCCTCAGCAATCAGACAGCAAAAAGAAATACAGGGCATACAAATCAGCAAGGAAGAAGTCAAACTTTCACTATTTGCAGGTGATATGATACCCTATGTAGAAAACCTGAAAGAGTCCACCAAAAATTTGCTAGAACTAATACCTGAATTCGGCAAAGTCACAGGATACAAAATCAACGTGCTGAAATGTGTTGATTTTCTCTACACCAATAACGAAGCAGCAGAAAAAGAAATCAAGGAATTGATCCCATTTGCAATTGTACCCAAAACAATAAGATACCTACGAATAAACCTAACTAAAGAGGTAGAAGATCTGTACTCTGAAAACTGTAGAACGCTTATGAAAGAAGTTGAAGGGGACACAAAGAAATGGAAAAGCATCCCATGCTCATGGATTGGAAGAACAGTGTTAAAATGTCGATACTACCCAAAGCAATCTACACATTTAATGCAATCCCCATCAAAATACCACCAGCAATT